TCACCCCCTGACGCCTCCATTTCCATTTTCACTGACTGACTTTCTTGCCTGCATTGTGTGCCAAGCCAGCCTCTGGCTTCATTACTCTTCCTTCCATCCAGGACCAGGAGACACACTAACTGCAGGTACTTCCTCAGCCTGACAACGGGTGTTTCAACCCAAAAGCTTCCTAAGATATTTTTCTAACTATTTAGGTTTTTTTCATAATAAGCATATAAACATAAAACCACAAGATAAGCCATCACACACCACCAGTAACATATATTCAACACAACATTTTACTTCTCGCTGTCAATTCCTTTATAAAAAGAAAGGCTCTGTGACAGTTCTGCCTGGATACCTTTGATGCTGCTGGTGCTATTGGTGTTGAGCCAGCTAAATTATCTGGACCTGCCATCGTTTACAGTGGTGGACCGAGCCAGGGGTGTAGGGGGGGAGGAGACCTCACAGGGACACACTGCCATGTTGTGCAGAGGCTCCAGTGCCAGGAAGAGCACACCTGAACACATACGCAGTCTCACAAGCACCCATGTCACGAGTTTTGCCTGCGTGGGGCCAGAGGTGCAGGGCCCCAGAACTCACACTCCCCCTGCACCTATGTCCTTGATGGCTGGCAGGCTTTGTGGCTGCAGCAGGTGTTACCACTTTTCACCCCCCTGTGCCTTAACACACACACAGTGTCACCTATGTCATGAGTTTTGCTTGCCAGCAGTTTGAGGTTCAGTTTCCCAGAAACCCCTGCATCTATCTCCTTGAAACCTGGCAGGCTTTGTGGCCTCAGCAAGAGCTCTACCACCCTCCAGTTCTCACTCTACTGTGGCTTAACACACACATGACATGAGATTTGCTTTCAGGATTTGAGGTGCTGTTTCCCAGAAACCCCTGCACCGATCACCTTGAAACTTGGCAGGCATCATGCCCTCAGCAGCAGCTACCACTCCTGCAAGTTTCATCTGATCAGCCAAAAAACAACAAAGTTATAGATATTTCATTGATGCCACATTATACCCTATGACTGAATCTCTGAATTGCTGAATCTTTTCTGAATCTTTTCCAAATTGATTTGGAAGCTCTGAATCAGTTCGGAAAGCCTAAAGCTGCTAGCAGTTCGATTCAGATTTGTAGATCTGGCCTCCAAATTATCCAAATCATCTCTGAATCAGAATCATGATCAGAAGATTTGCACAGCCCTACTGCAGTCCCAGTGGTGCACTGAGCAGTAGCATTGGCATCATGATTTGTGCCCACTAATGCCATAGTGCCCACTAATTCCATAGTGATGAGCTACATCACCCTAGCTCGTTTCTACAGTGAGGAAGTGTCTTTTGTAGATGTGCCCACTGTGGCGGAAATTCTGCTCTGAATCATCTGGTTTCTACTTCTGTTTCCTTTAACCAAATCAACAATGATGAACTGGAAAGAGAATTGTCTCATTATGTTTAGCCTTTGTGAACTTTAAAGTCTATCTGTAGCCATTTATATTAATAGGAGTGGCAAACCTTTGTACAAAAATTCCCTTCAGATTTTTTTAAACAAACATAGTGTTTTGTGATGCATACACTTGTTGTTTGAAATAGGTCTGAGTCTTAACAACTTGGAGATTAGCAAACTTTGTGCTGACACTTCTTGATTGTGTCCTTCAATGACAGGCATTGAAGAGGCAATTTTTTTGGTTAGCGAATCTCTGCATTGTGAAGTGCGTCTTTACAAGACTCCAGCATGACAGTCCTCACAAACAGTGCCAGTTTCGGTACATCTTCTAATAAAGGTGTTGGGCCAAAGGGTTCAGGATGGAGTACCAGACAGAAGAAGACCAGCAGCAGTGGAAAATCAACTACAAACCACTCTACAACTACAACAAACACTAAGGGAATATGGAGTTTTTACACAGGTGCTTCTCATGGGATCAAAATTGGCCCCTTTACAGTGTTGATCATAAGCATTCTCTTCATTGCTTGTGTAATAATATTGCACATTTGGGCCAAATATAATCGCTCCTAGACTCAGCTGTTCCTATGCATTCTGCCTTGCTTTAGTGTACTTTACTTAACAGACTGCACATATGTTGTGAGGAGATGGAGGGGAAAAAACTTGTGAACCAGAAATATAGTGGATTTTAAGTTTTTTGCAGCCTTTGAAAGCATTGTGTTAAAATAAAAGGAAATAAAAATCAGAATATTTTTAAGAAGTGATGTTTCCTTAATTTGGCTCTTTTTTCTGATTGTCAGAAGGACTCCATGTTTCTATTTAAAATCTTTGATAAGCTTCAGATGCCAATCACCACACTCTCCAGCTGTAAATATATATACTAGAATGTATTTTAATTGCTTAAAGAGTTACTAAGACAGATACAGCATATGCAAGCTAGACATGACAGCCCTCTGAAATTAAAATAATCTGCTGTAAATGTATTTCTCTGATTTAAAGTTTACTTGACTATTTCATAGATTTCATAGAAATTAGGGCTGGAAGGGACCTCGGAAGATCATCGAGTCCAGCCCCCCACCCGAAGGGCAGGAAGTCAGCTGGGGTCATAGTTTTGCTCTTGAAGGTGTTCAGAGTAGGTGCTTGAACCACCTCCAATGGCAGGCTGTTCCAGACCTTGGGGGCTCGGACAGTAAAGAAATTCTTCCTTATGTCCAGCCTGAAACAGTCTTGCAGGAGTTCATGACCGTTCAACCTCATCATCCCTTGGGGTGCTCTGGTGAACAAACGTTCCCCCAGATCCTGGTGGTCACCCCTGATAAATTTATAGGTGGCCATCAGATCGCCCCTGAGCCTGCACTTTTCCAGGCTAAAGAGCCCCATGGCTCTCAGCCTGTCCTCGTAAGGTCTGTTTTCCTGACCTCTGGTCATGTGCGTGGCTCTTCTCTGGACTCCCTCAAGCTTCTCCACATCCTTTTTGAATTGTGGAGCCCAAAACTGGATGCAGTACTCCAGCTGCGGTCTCACCAAGGCCGAGTACAAGGGGAGAATGATGTCCCGGGATTTGCTTGAGAAGCATCTATGGATGCAAGCCAGCGTTTTGGTCGCTTTACTAGCCGCAGCATTGCATTGCATTTGTCTTGTATATTTGTGTATATAATTGGATTTTTTTGGATAACATATTACAAATATTTAAAAGCACAAATTGGTTTTGGATAGAGAAAGCTACAGAATGGTAGCCTCTTATGGCAACCTCTTATGGATTACCTAATTTATGAATGGTGACATGGTTACTGTATATTAAAGGAGTCCAAATTCTACAATGAAAGCAATCTATTCACTTATTAAATACTTAAATTGGTAATTTTTGCTCATTCAGTCAATTTTCCTCTATGGCTAGGTAAAGACATTTAAAAAGACCAAGGTGGAGATGATCTAAGCTATATGGTTTTCTATAAGTGGCGTGGTTTAGATCTGTAGCAAATAGAGCACACATTCGCCATTTGGTTGGGGGAAAGGGCATGGTGCAAATCTCAGACTGGGTTCTGCCATTTTAAGCCAGTCTCTGTGCAAAACTTCTGTTTTGCTAGAGCAGTATAGAGTAGGATCAGAAAATTGATCTATAGGGTATAGATCAGTTTCTGATCACTTATACCAGTAAAAAACTAATGTCAGCACCTGGCCTATGTTTTCACTATAATACTTGCGAATAGTAGCTGAAGCACACTAGTTAATAATATATAAATATCACTCAGCAGTATGTGAAGGGTATCAGACCTTGAAATAGACCAAGGCAATGATGGAAAGATAACAAAAACAAAAGGATTGGTGGCAGGAGACTGTACAAGACTGAAGGAGATGGATGGTTGTAGTTAAGGTAGTTATAGGCTGTCAAGCCAGAAAGAGAAAGAGAGAGAACAAGCAGTATATGCAGCTGGGGGTTAGACTATTCTGTTAATTTTCTGTCGGAGATTTAGTAAATCAGAGTTGGTGTCTAGGCCAGTTAAAAGGCAAAGGAGGTAGCCAGGGCTGTTTAAAGATTTTTTTTCTGTCTTTAAAGTCTGTGGAAACATTGCAGGACTGATTGTACTGGAATATGCGTATACTTCCTGGATAACTCAAAGGACACCTAATCTGTTGCATAGTCTTACTATGGCTGCTATAAGACTTGATATAAGGAGGAGCCAGTGTCTTTCACATTGCATTTACATTTGAGGACACAAGGGCTTGGAAACTCATTGAGCTTCTATTTCCCTTTACTCCTCTTTCACTCGTTTTCCTGATGCTGAGTACATTAAGGTTTTTATCCTTAACTGGGGATTGGTACTACCATAATATATATAAATAGCAGTGGTTGGTATAATCCAGTGGTCTCCAAAGTGGGGTGCGCACACCCCAGGGGGTGCGCAAGATGATCCATTGGGGTGCGGGAAGAAAATATTGGAACTTTTATCTAGATGTATATTTATATAAATATACATATACTGGGGGTGCGTGCCCAAAAATTTTTTACTGATAGGGGTGTGCAATCAAAAAAGTATGGAGACCGCTGGTATAATCTAGCATTAGGTGTCCACATCAACTTCGAGAACCGAGAACTAGTTTCCTTCTAAATCATAGTTATGTTTGTGAACTCTTCAGTCCTACTCTCATGAAACACAGTCAGCTTACTTTATATTGTATAACTTTTCTCTCTAGCATATAAAAATACAAACAGCCAAACTTGCCACTAGGAACCATGAAGATCTCGAAATCAATTGAACTGTTAAATAACATATTTTTATTTACTGTATTCTATCCTAGGAGAAATAACTGTCTCCACTATGTATGATGCTTTATTAGATTAGCTTCATGTACTACTGAATAACGATCATTAAAACCATGATAACTTGGTAGTAGAGAAATAATTAGAAGGCACAGTTAAAATCTTGGCTGCCTGAGTATACAATTTGCTGTTATAGTTCATCATCAGTGTTGGATACAGTTTCTGATCTGACAGGCTCTACAAGCCCTCAGTTTTAAAATATACTTAGGTAAATTTACCCATGAAATAGAGCTAGAGATAATATACTTATGGCAAATTAGAGTGCACCTTACATTTAACATTGGAAAAAATGGATAGAGAAGAGTGGGAGAGTTTTTTTGTCTCTCCCTTGCAGCTCACTGAGCCCCACACATGCTTTATCATATTTGCTTTTTCTTGGCCCTGCCCACACCAAGATTAGGATAATCAAAATGCTGGGGTGTGCAAATATTCTCAGGGCTTAGGTTGCCCTAAAATGGTACACCTAATCTGAAGTTAGTTCTCATCAGACAAGAGCTAACTTTAGATCAATTATGGGGTTAACGCAACCTAATTAATGCTTGCACACATTCCCAGCACAATCCCAGGGCTGGGAAAGCCCAACCACGCTCCAAAGCCCCGGCGCTGGGATGTTTTTATTCCCTTAATCCTGACCAGGCCATTTTACCCTCCTGGATCAGGTAGCCTGCCCATGGACCTGCCAGGCCTCACTGGACCAGCTTGCCACCTCCTGGCTCTTTGACTTACTTGCCTCCTCCAGCTGCCTGTGCCTTCTCTGGGCAAGTCCTGAATGCCTGTATGCAGAAATCCTGACTCAGGTTTAGGTGACTTAAATCAAATTACCTGAAACTGAGCCGGGTCCTAGAAATGCTAGCTCTCATTCAGAGGAGGTGTTACTTTTAGGATGAAAAATAGTCAATGCCAGAGTGAAATGGGTGTCAGCATTGAAGATGGGAGTGGTATATTTGTGTGAAAACAAATCATATAATCCTAGGCCAGGGTATTATTTCTGTACTTAGATCTGTACCCTAAAAATCCTGCCTGCATGCATGCAACATTGTAATCTTCCTGTGACAATACTTCTTCATAGCCATACAGCATAACCCAGATTGTTCTGCTATCCCTATGTGAACCCTTGAGTTTGTGAGCTGTTGCTAGTACTTACTAGCCAGGCACAGATTTTTAGATAGCTTCATTAGTCAAGTTAATTAAGGATGTTTTGATGGTATGTTGGGGGGGGGCACAAATAGATCAACTATTTTTGCAACCTTACTCAATATCTTCATAAGTGTGGAAACACAGGAACAGTTACTATAGACAATGCATGGTGTTCTAAGAAAAATAGTCCAAAGTGACAAATATTAAAGCACTTTCGGCTGGATTCCAGAAATCCCTCCTCTGTAGGTTGCATTTAACAAAGTAGCAGTAAAAACCACTTTGCTGTAGCTATACTTATCACTGTAAAAAAGAAAAAATAGAACAAGATTGTAGTTAAACATTGTAGCTTCTGGGGAGATACTGGGGGTATTAAGAGTTTAGTTGTGGCATTTGGGGAGTTAATACTGCCCAGCTGTGTGAAATACTCACATTGAAAGTATCCAAAGGTGAAAGTTACATGTTCACAGAGTTAAAAAATTATGTTTGGCAATATGAACTTTTTTAGCAAGAATGGCATAATTTTATCTTTTCTCCATAAGAACTAGGACGTGCTATTTTAGACATTTAAAAACTTGGGCATCTGTATCACAAAATTATTTTCTAGTCTTTTTAAAAACTTGAACTCAAATCTTTTTATTTTCAGTTTACGGTTCTGAAATTTGAACAAGGGTTTAATTTTTAGAACTTAGAACCTAATATTTAAAATATTTATCAACTCTGTCTTGATGAGGAATAAAAGTTTGATTTATTGTTGATAGGCAGTGGCTCTTTGGGATGGATCATATTAAATGCCCTCCATTACTAAATGCAAAAATTAAGACACTGTGGTAGTAGACAAGATGATTTTCAGCCTATATGTAAATATATGGTGGTTGAGATAGGCAATAATTAATCTACTGTTCAAAAAGTAGATTTAGGAAGGCTTTTGATATGGTCTCTCATAATATTATTGCAAGCAAGCTAAGGAAGCAGGGGTTGGATGAATGGACTGTAAGGTGGATAGAAAACTGGCTGGATCATCAGGCTTAGAGGATAGTAATCAATGGCCCAATGTCTAGTTGGCAGCTGGCATCAAGTGGAGTGCTCCAGGAGCTGGTCCTGCTGCTGGTTTTGTTCAATATCTTTATCAATGATCTGGAAGATGGGTTGGAGTGCATCCTCAGCAAGTTTGCAGATGACACCAGGATGCGGGGGGGACTAGTAGATATGCTGGAGGGTAGGGCTA